AAATGTTATACTATAAAAAAATGGAATACCAGTACTCTGACGGTTTTCTAATGGTACTGCCACACCATCTAACTATTTTTGACAAAGGGAGAAAACGACAGCAATGATATAATGAAGGATTTTATTTAGCTATAAATCAATAGGGACAGCCGCCAACATGATTATATTATTAACAATTGCTGGCATTCTGCTGGCCATTTTTTGCCTTGAAATCCCTTCATAAATATTACAGAGTGGGAAACCTAGAAATAGAATTTTCCCCCCAAACTTTCATAAATATTTAGTTTTACAGCTTTTATCAGCTTTATCAAGAGGTTTATATAAATCCTTAAGGCAAATGTTTAAAAGTCTGTTTTGGGAGTAGGAAAGAAAAGTAGGTGGCTAAAATAGTTTTACTATTAATCTACTTCCCTTAGCCAAAGTTTGGCTTGTGATAGCGGTAGAGAAAGTAGAGGAAGCCGAAAGGTCAGAGGGATATATTTTTAAGGAGTCAGGAATAACACTACTCATTTTCAAAATCTGCAGTGTGATCCATTTCCAAAGCAGAACACCCGACTCTGCAAGAATCCAAATGCTTATGCCAAGAAGTTGAGTCTTATGACCAGCCATTTATAGGCCCTCCAAATACGCATCATTCATTTTGTAGGTTATTACACTGTTCTTCACTTCGAAAGGTATTGTATTTTGTTAGCTCTGGTTTATAGGCTATGGGATTTCTTTAGGAGTCATTTCTAAAACTTAATTTCCCAATCGTATCCCTGTAAAGAATTCAAATTCAATCAACAACTACTGTTTGCCACAAGACGGAGATAAATCATAAGAAATTAGTAGAGTTGGGGGCATGTTTTCAAAATAGGTATGCTTTAGCATACATGGAAATGCAAAGCCTCACCTGATATTTAATCACGAATAAAGCTTTATCGTAATTCCTCTCTATCAAATAATTCATTCGAAAATATGGAAGATTTCAAGGGCTAATAACACAGAGACTCTCACTAGATAGCTTGTGGGGGAAAAAAATGTAACATACCCAACTCATGATATGTTTTTGTTTATAAAGAAGTTAGTCCTAGTTGTAAACGGTCTCCCAATTGATCAATGGTATTTTCAGAAAACAAATACCACAGTAACAAAACAATCACAAAGATGTTTATAAAAGTTTACAGATGACCTAGCATTTACTATACTTGCTTTATTAAAGACCAGAACAATTATTGGCATTCAACAAAAAGTAACTGCCAGTAGAGGTAGTGTAAAAAAAAAAAAAAGAAAAAAAGAAAGAAAGAGTTTTGCTATCAATAACTTTACTAATCACCTTTAAGTCAATAAAAGTAAATTTAATTGGGGTGCCTGAGTGGCTCAGTGGGTTAAAGACTCTGCCTTAGGCTCAGGTCATGATCCCAGGGTCCTGGGATGGAGTCCTGCATCAGGCTCTCTGCTCAGCAGGGAGCCTGCTTTCCCCTCTGTCTCTGCCTGCTGCTCTGCCTACTTGTGATCTCAGTCTGTCAAATAAATAAATAAAATCTTTTTTAAAAAAAAAGTAAATTTAATTTAGTTTGTAAAAAATTTTTTTAAGTTTTAAGAGCTAGCTAAAAATGGAAGTGAAGGGACGCCTGGGTGGCTCAGTCAGTTGAGTGGCTGCCTTTGGCTCAGGTCATGATCCCAGCATCCTGGGTTGGAGCCCCGCTCCTTGATCGGCAGAGAGCCTACTTCTCCCTCTGCCTCTGCTTGCCTCTCCCACTGCTTGTGCACGATTGCTCTCTCTCTCTCTCTCTTTCTCTCTCTAAATAAAATTAAAAAAAAAAAAAAGTAAATTGGGGCGCCTGGGTGGCTCAGTGGGTTAAAGCCTCTGCCTTCGGCTCAGGTCATGGTCTCGGAGTCCTGGGATCGCATCGGGCTCTCTGCTCAGCAGGGAGCTGCTTCCTCTATCTCTCTCTCTGCCTACTTGTGATCTCTGTCTGTCAAATAAATAAATAAAATGTTAAAAAAAAATAAAAATGGAAGTGAAATGGGATGGCTTTGTAGGCAACTAATTGCAAACACACACAAATATTATTTCAAGGGAACTGCGGCCTTTCAATGGGTTGTATAGGTGATGGAAATGCCAACCTACATATTTTGGGGTTTTCAACAATGCTGTGCTACAAGATCATAAGAGGCTACAGTTTAATAATATTAAAAGACTTCGAGTTTGGAATCTTGGATATTCTATTCCAAAAATGATACATACCCATAAGTATAATGAAGAAAAACACACATGTAGTAACAGTACAATATTCATGAAGGATTTGGTTGAACTTAAAAAGACTGCATTTCAAAAGTCTTCTTGCATTATCTGAAGATACTGCTCAATAAAAGTAACCATCTCTTAAAAAATACTGATCATGCCATCAGTTTCAAAGCACTTGACTATCTTAGTTATACAGAATCAGGTCATGGAAAAGGTTAGTGCTATTCCCAATATTATGCTAAATGACCCAATCTTCTGGATTCCAATAAGAGTCATCATATTTAACTATGGTGACTATTATTAGCCAAGTTTGAAATCGTTTCTTTCCCTGAAAGAATCTTCAGTTCTTAGTTTGGAGGACTCAGAAGGGAAAAGAGGAATGATCCAAACAGAGTTAACCATAACCCTACCAATTATTTCAAAACTTTTAATTCCACTTTCCCACAAATAAAACAGAACAAAGCAAACTATTCATATCACTTTTCACAATTATATTAGCAGAAATAAAAAGTAGTCATGAAAATGGCTGGTGATATTCCAGCAATCTATCTATCTATATATCTATATCTATATATATATATATATTTTTTTTTAATTTGACAGAGATCACAAGTAGGCAGAGAGAGATGGGGAAGCAGGCTCCTCGCTGAGCAGAGAGCCCGATGCGAGGTCAATCCCAGGACCCCGGGATCATGACCCAAGCCGAAGGCAGAGGCTTTAACCCACTGAGCCACCCAGGTGCCCCTCCAGCAATCTACAAATACTAGGTTTTAACTCAATAAAACAGGAGGCAGAAGAGTACAATGGTTGAGAGACTGGGCTGCAGAGTCATGCTCCTTTGGTTCAAATCCCAGCCCCCCATCTAGCCAGGTAACAAGTTACAGGCCGCCAGCATCTGTTCCCTCACCTGCTAACTGAGCAGTTCTTACCTCACTGGATTGTTGTCAGAACTTAATTACAATGGTGCCTGGCACATAGTAATTTATAAAGACTCACTTCTGAATTGATTCTTCATAGCATATCTTTAAGGAATCAATTTTTAAAACCAAGGCCCTTTTAAGAACAGGAAGAGACAAAATCCAGATTCATATAAGTACTGCCCAACAAGAATCTAATTAGACATCACCTTACTTTTCAAGGGATGGTGTAATCCAGATTTCCTACAACTTCTGAGCTTCACTTACATGTCAGGCATGGTGCTGCCTGAGTCAAGGCATCCAAAAAGTGCAGTAACACTGGAAAATGAGGGCTCTATTTCCTGCTCTGCTACCAATAAGCTATATGGCATTAAGTAGGTCATAAAATGGTCATAAAGCATTCTATAAAATGGAAGGGTGGGGAAAGAAGAGACAGAGAGAATTTATGGTTTAGTCATCAAAATCCTGTGAGTCCTAAAGGGAAAATTCTGCTGACTTCCAAGATTATCCTCCTATAAAGGAAGAACAGGGCAAAAAAAAAAAAAAAAAAAAAAGTAGTTAAAGGGGCACCTGGGTGGCTCAGTGGGTTAAAGCCTCTGCCTTCGGTTCAGGTCATGATCCCAGGGTCCTGGGATCGAGCCCTGCATTGGGCTCTCTGTTCAGCAGGGAGCCTGCTTCCCTTCCTCTCTCTCTGCCTGCCTCTCTGCCTACTTGTGATCTCTGTCAAATAAATAAATAAAATCTTAAAAAAAAAAAAAAAAGATAACAGTTAAAGTCAGCTTGACCAGGTTAAGTCCTATTAGTATTCTTCTGCGCTCCAGAACGTAAAAAATGGTATCTTATTTATCTGTATAGCCCAGTACACTGGCACGCAGTGTACAAGATGCTGGTCTGATCAAACTACACATAAATATGGAGAATTAACTACATTTTTATTAGAGATGTGTTAGAGAATTAGAAGTTATCTAATTCTTGAGATATATTTATTTCTTCCTCTCCGTTGAGCTATACACTTCGCCTTTGCCTCTAGTTCTTACACTAGCCCAGTGAGGTCGGTATTAGTATCATTACCCCACTGAATGCATCAGGAGATTGAGGATGTTCACGGAAGCCCTGGTTACAAGGCTCCTCCTAGCCAGAGCCCGGATTCTAACCCACGTCTATCTCGCTTGCAAAATCTGTGCTCTCAACCACCCTGGGCTGCACTCCCATCAACACTCGGCCAATCCGCGTTCAGAAAGAAAAAAGATAACAGACTTAAAGACATATCTGCCTTTCGCTCCACCACGTAATGCTACGATAAAAATATGTGTTCGGGGCGGTGCGGTCGGCTGAGACGAGGGCGGAGGCCCCCTTCCTCTGCCAGCAATGTCATCTCCGGGGGGAGGAAGTAAATCTCGGATCTGTGCCCGCGGCAGCCCGGGCGAGCGAGGCGGGACAGCAGACCGGCAGAGAGAGGACCGCGGGAGGCGGCCGGCACAAACGCATCTGCCTTGGGCGAGCCGTCCCGCAGACTCCGCAGACTCCGCCGCGCAGCAAAAAGCGGCGCCCGGGGAAGTCCGGGGACAGGGCTGTCCTCCTTCAGGTTTAACTCCGCCGGGGGGCTGCGAGCCTCCGGACCTCACTGCGCTCATCGGCAGTGCGGGACTCGGGCTACTCGGGACCCGCCTTCCTCGCTCGGCGGTGCTCGGGGGAAGGAGGGTCCACGGGAGACGGCCCTGGCGAAGACACCTCCGAGACAGCCGGGTCCAAGCCCGCCCCACGAGGGGACAGCAAGGGGGAGGGGCAACGGTCTGGTCAACCTGTCCAGAACTCACTGACCAGAAGGCGAGGCGGCACCCTGCAATACTCACTGCCGGACCACGGTCAGAGCGAAGCGCGTCATCTTCCTGGCGCCCGGAGGGACGGAAAGTAGTGGCCGCAGCTCGGCTCGCGGGCCCTGCACCCTCCGGCGCGCCGCTTCTCCGCACTGCGGGACACCTCGCCCACACCACTTCCGCCAAGCCCCGCCGGCCGGCCGGCTCCGCCGCCATAGGCCGAGGCGGCCATCAACGTCATCCCCGCGGGGCCAACCAGGGGGACTCGAGGCCCGCAGGCTGGCGGAGATTGGTGAGCGATGAGGCCCCGCCCAGGGCCGTAGCGCTTGCGCCCCTGCGCGCAGGCCTGTGATTGGCGCGCGGCAGGTGCGTGCGGGGCCCGCCCCGGAGTCCGCAGTGGAGGCGATTCTTGCCCCGGCAAGTTTGGATCCGGGAGGCTCCGGGGGAGGATAAGGGAATCAGCGCACGGTTTTTGGGTTGATTTCGTTTGAAGCTGTAACGCAGCTCGTAGTCTTACCTCAGGGCTGCGCTGCGCCAGACACGTTGGGTCCAATGTGTCTGGCGCAGTGAGTGGGGTTTTACTGTTAGCCCCTAAAACGGGGGGTGTGGGGTCAGCAAGGTCTGGGGACTTGGACCAGTCCGGTTTGGGTCCCCGCGCGCGCCTCAGCAGACACACTCGTGCTGCAAACTTTGCTCAGATTTGTTTTGAGCGCGTTTCTAGACTAGGCCTCGTCCTCGGCCTGCTGAGCCGGGTTTCACCGTTGACCCCTGCGGAACTAATTAACCGAGAATCCTCTCGCCCATCGTATGTGATCAAGTTCCTCTTCCTCCACCCGTGGTACTTAAAGGGACTCCCCTTCCTCCGTCCTTGGTTTCAAGTTCCTCTTTCCCCTCTCCGGGTCTAACCGACTTCCTCGGAGTCTCCTCACTCCGCCCCCTGGCTGTAAACCTCCACTGGTCTCCGCTGTATTTGAAGTTGAATTCAGTCTCTCCTCCCCTTGCAATAGCCTTAATCCCAGTTGCAGTGGATTTAAGTGAAGTCTTCCCCCCCACCCGCCCTTTTTTAAAGAGCATCTGGCGAATAATGTTTTTTAACAGCTCTCGGGGCCTTGGGAGTTACTTAACCTCTCGGTTACTGGTAAGTGAAATGGTAACAAAGCTTACTCGTGCTAGCTTTACAATGATAGAGCTTCATAATGTTAACCTTTATATTGTTTTCCACTCATTTTTACTTAAATTCCCCTATTTGATAATGCATCTCCCCCCAATTATATATGCGAAGATGGGTTTAGAGAAGTCAAGTGATGCATGGGATTTCTAGGCACACATTTCAAAACAGTGTCACACGTGTGATCACATTTGGCCCTCAGAACAAGTCCGAGGTAGACAGGGTATCCTCACTTAAGATAGGAAGAATCTGGCCTGGAGAGAAATGTAGCAATTACTCTAGGTAATTGTCCATGGAGACACAGGACTGGTTCAGTGATTCTCAAACCTACCCATACACTGGAGCCATCTAGGACTTTTTGAATGCCAGGCCACAACCCAGAAAAATTAAATCTGAACCTCTGCAGGAGAGATCCAGACATCGTAATTTTTTTTTTTTTTTTTTTTTTTTTTTTTTTTTTTTTTTGTCCCCAGCTCTTTCCAATGTACTGTCAGCTTTGAGAAGTAGAAGCTTAAGACAGTGCTCCTCCAACTTGAACATTCGTACAAATTGCTTGGGGATTTAGTTAAAATGATTCTGATTTAGTAGACCAGGAGTAGAGGCCAAATTCAGCATCTCTAGCAAGCTTCCAGGGAAACAGACATTTTCAAAATGATGGTGGAAGGATAATTCAGAAGGTTCTAAAAGGAGGCCCAAATTATCATGGGAGTACACTGCCTACACATAGTAGATAGTTCATATAAATCTGCATGCCTGAATGAATGAATCAGTCCAACAGATTCTCCTGGAAGTTTGAACTAGAAAAGGGAAATTGATTAGTTATATGTGAAGGCTAAAGAGAAAAAGCATCAAGAGAAACTAAGTGCAGAGCAATAAGGAGCATATAGCCTGAAGCTATGAAGAGACTGAAACCACGAATAATTTAAGCTTGAGAACAGATTTACAGCATAGGGAGTAAGAACAAGCAAGGTAATGGAAGAAATCAGTAAACACACAGACAGAAGCAGACACAAGTGTGTAATGCAGAGACTACCCGGTCCCTTGTCCCTCCAGCTGCCATAATAACATACTTTGTGGTTTCTGTTTTTATAATAAAACCTCTTTCTCTTTAAGGGAGTCTGAGTACATTTCTAAAGCTTAATTAAAACCAGACTTCCACTTTGTCTCATTTAACATAGTAATCTGCAAGGTATGAATTATTAATTTAATCTATTTTTTAAGGTTTTATTTATTTATTTGAGACAGGAAGAGACAGAGCATGAGCAGTGGGGAGAGGGAGAGGGAGAAGCAGGCTCCCCACTGAGCAGGGAGCCCAGACAGGGCTCCATCCCAAGACCCTGAGATCATGACCTGAGCCAAAGGCAAATGCTTAATCAACTAAGCCATTCAGGCATCCCTGTTTTTATTTTATAGTTGAAGAAAATAAGGCAAAGAGAAGCTAAGTAATTTCCCATCTCTCAAGATCTCAAAACTGAGTTTGACCCCAGGTAAGTATGTTCCAGGTGGCATCAAAACTGTAACTATGAAAGTGAGTGCTGGCTTTGTTTCATTATGTCCCTGGCTCCTATCAAAATGCTTAAAACACAGTAGGGACTCAATTAAAATTTGTTAAATGCATGAATGAGGAATATTTGTTATGATCAATTTCTCAAATGAACCAATATCTAAAAAAAATTATCTGATAAAATGGGAGAGTATTAATTTAGGAGAAATTTAGAAAATTATAAAGCACCAGTATTAACTTAAAGAATTATGCAAGAAATATGTATAGAAAGAGTGTTTTCATTAACTTTAAGAATAAAAAAAATAAAGTTGAGAAATGAGGATCTTTGAAAGAATGGACATAATCTTGCATTATCCAGTCAACAGTTCCGGGATTTCTCTTCAGCTTCTAAAATGAACAGGAAGGGGCGCCTGGGTGGCTCAGTGGGTTAAAGCCTCTGCCTTCGGCTCAGGTCATGATCCCAGGGTCCTGGGATAGAGCCCCACATTGAGCCCCACATCAGGCTCTCTGCTCAGCAGGGAGCCTGCTTCCTCGTCTCTCTCTGCCTGCCTCTTTGCCTACTTGTGATCTCTGTCTGTCAAATAAATAAATAAAATCTTAAAAATAAAATAAGATAAAATGAACAGGGAGTTGGTTTAAACTTTGTTTAGATAGAAGCTAGAAATAACCACTGATAGACTTTTGTTGACAGCCTATCACATCACATATGCCCTTTTGTAAAAAATGAAAAATGGTGCTTTGTTACGGTATAGCATGTGATGGAATTCTGAATTAGTTAGGATGGGCCAAATTATGGAGCGCCTGGGTGGCTCAGTCATTAAGCATCTGCCTCCGGCTCAGGTCATGATCTGAGGACCTGGGACCGAGCCCAACATCGGGCTCCCTGCTCAGCGGGAAACCTGCTTCTCCCTCTCCCACTCCCCCTGCTTGTGTGCCCTCTCTCACTGTGTCTCTTTCTGTCAAATAAATAAATAAAATCTTAAAAAAAAAAAAATGATGGACCAAGTTATGCTGAGGTAACAAATTAACCCTGAAGTTTCCCATGCCTTACCGCATGAAAGTTTCTCTCTCGTGTAACTTGTCTGACATGGATCAGAAAGGGCCTTTGCTCCACATAGTTACTCAGGAATTAGGTTTGACAGACATATCAATTTAAACACATAGATTCATGAGTCCTGAGACAGGAGAGAAGAACAATTGAAGGTCTTGAACCAGTTCTTAGATGCTTCCGCTGTGCATTGTCCAGAGCTACTGACATAGCCCTATTTTACTGCAAAAGTAATGGGAAATGTGGGGAATGCACACATGTTTAGTGAGTGGACAATGCCATCAACACTGGGTGAGTTGGAGTATCCCAGGATTCTGCCCTGAGCTCTTTTCACCTAACCATGTAGTCTCCTACGTGATCCTACCCTGTGTATAGATACTTTTATCTCCAGTCCGCAAGTTTCCAGTCTACTCCTTCATTTTCCCAGGTACCTACCCAGCATCTTCAGTTAGATCCCCAGTGAGCATCGCAGGCTAACTTTGTCCACAGAGACTCTTCCATTTTTTTACCTCCTAAGACTGCTCACTCCTCCTCAAGTCTTTCTCATCTCATGGCAATACCTTCTACCCAGCTGCCCATGCAATTCTACATTCTTAACCTTAACCTAACACTCTTCATCAAATTCATCACAAACTTCTGTAGGCTCAATAATGCTGTGAGTTTTAGTCTGGTCTTTTAGTCATGTTTTCAAATAAAGATTTCATTATAGTCTTCATTGAAAATGAGCCAAGGGTGAAAATGCTTGATCTACTCAGGATGTGGGACCAAGGAGGAGAGCGTGGGTTGGCATCGGTTTCCAGATACTTTCAACAATAGCATTAAGGGTGAAGTTAATTATATTGGTACCAAATACTGGCTTTCTGGTTAATAGGAGTCAGTGAAATTTCTGTTTTTCTTGTTTATAATTTTTTTAACTAAAGGAGTTTTTTCTTATTCTGAGCGTAAGACTGAAATAGTCATAGACTTCAATCTGTAGGATTTCAAAGATCTTTAAAGATAGACATCTTTGAAATTTGTGGAGATTCGTTTTGTCAACTCATCCATGGTCATTTGGATATATTCTTCAGGAAGAATGTGGGTTCACTCGTTATTGGTGCAGACCTCTATGTATGTCTGAATTGAGCTGACTTATGTTGTTCAAATCTTCATCAATCAACCAATAAATCTAAAAACTTACAAAAAAAGTTCTTGTGTGCTTTATCACTAAGTCTATGTGCTGAGTCTATCGTTCTTCCTTATGACCTTACTACCTCCTATCCTAAGCTCTATCATCTCTTGCCTGGATGACAGTAGGAGTCTGTGCTCTTGTACGCTACACAGCATCCTCCTACTCAGCAGCCAAAGGGATGTCTTTATGATCACATCATGCCAGCCCCTTGGTGGAAAATTCTATAATGGAGTCTCACTGCCACTAGAATAGAGTCCCAACTCCTTACCCAACTCCTACAAGGCCTGGGTGACTTGGGGCCCCTCTAGGTCTCCAGTCCCATTTCTCTGTTCACTCTCCTTCTTCACCAAGCTGTAGTTATAATGCTTATTTCTCTTCCTAGACCATGACATGCTCATTCCTATCTCAGGGT